ATGGGCAAAGGGAGACGAGAAGGCGCCCTCCTCTGGGTCGAGGCAGTCAAGCGTGACGGCACCAGCACGCTCGAAAGCCCTCGAGTCCAGATCCATTTGTGGCTGACACGAGTCAACTCTTCAAAGTCCGGCTTACGAGTAGCCGAATCGCAAGGCTCTAGCCTCTCCCCTCACCCTCCGCCCCGTCGAGGCCGGCCCGCACTCGAACAGGGATCGCCGCGCGAGCCTCGAAGCGGCATGCATGCTCGACCCAACGAAATGCCAGCACCCGCTAGGGCGTGACAGTGACAGGCCTCGGCCTGAAAGTTCAGTTGTCACGGCGACAAATCAATCGGTCGAGCCCTGGCAATGTTGACTTTGCGCCATCTTCTGTGTCCTCTTCAAAGGCAGTAGACACAGTCGAAATGCGACTAAACCAGTCTATACATGAGCAGGGCAGATGACAACGCTTCTGAGGCCAGCGTAGACGTGCGACCGGGGCTGAAGCCTAGGCCTGGCGGTCTGGCGCAATCAAGGCCTCGGAGGCGGGAGAGTTTGCAGAGCAGGCGGTGAAAATGCTCTTGGGGCGGCCTGAGCGAGGGGTCAGGCGAAGCCCATCTTCTTGGAGGAGACCAAACACAGGCAGTGCAAACACAGTGAGCAGGACGAGTGTGGATAAACGCGCATACACACCAGCAGAGCGACAGACACGCGGGCAGTTGGCAAAAAGGTGGACAGGCGACAGACAGACGGGTACATGGATGAGAGTACATGACAAGCAAGATCAGAGGGACGACGCACAGGAACAATGACGAACATGCAAACAATGAAAGGGCAGAAGTCGATGTGGCTAGACTGGACATGAGCAACAGCTTGGCGCAGAGGAAAGAACCTAGTAGACACACTGGAATGGATGAGAAGCTAGGATTGAAGAAAGACCTGTGAGGCGTTTTGATATGCAAGATTGCTTTAAAGTTTAGAACCTGTTAAAATAAGTTAACAACAGAAAAAAAGTGCGATCGATCCTTCCGAGCAGAGCTGCAACAAGGCAGTGATATGTGCTAGTGCCAACTGGAAAAAGGGGGAAGATGTGAAGAGATGCGATTGTGGAGCTAAAGAGTGCGAAGTAGGCGAAGATGATGCATGTATGGATAGATTTAGTGAAAGAAAATTAAGACGCGACTCGACTGAAACCGCATCGGTTCGAGATCACGAATGAGCGCCCACGTTGCACCCATCTGCTGAGAGCAAAAAATGCTTCAGTGCGTGTCTGCATAATTGTATGCACGTAAATAACCCAGGAGGCGGGTTCGGATGTCGCCGAGTGAAATAAAAAGATAGGTGAATATATGAATACCAAGATGTTGTGGCCTCTGGTATGGTGGCAGTCTCCTTGACGCAAGTTGGTCTTGTTGTCAGGGCGACTCAGTAGAACGCACCTAGTCCGAAGTCGTCTGCGATAGTAGTTGTCATGATTCCCAGCATCAAACAGTGGCCTTGGTACGTTTCGCCGGCATCATACTCGGAATCATCAGTGAGTTTTGCCATTCTCCGCACCAAGCTACGAACTCTTCAAAGAGACAAGTCAAGTCAATGCCTTGACCAACTTGCTGTCGAGACGATTATGCCTCTTTGTCTCTTTGACGAGTTCGTAGCTCAGTGCGGAGAATGGCAAAGCTGACTGATGATTCCGGCGAAACGTTTGAGAATGTACCAACTCCACTGTCTGATGCTGGGAATCATGACAATTATTATGGCAGACGACATCGGACTAGGTGCGTTCTACTGAGTCGCCCTGACAACAAGACCAAGTTGCGAAAACGAGGTCAACCCACTTCTAGAAAAATAGACTTAACGGCTCGCCAGACAGCGCCCCCCAACCGCCGCCTCGGCAGAAGAGACCGCCAGCCGCCGAAGAGGATGTAACTGTCACTGCACTC